GCAGTACAGCGTTTCCTGGTTGGGAAAGATGTCAGATCCAGGGCTTAGACCCTCTGCAGAGAGACTTCAGAAATCACTAAAACTAAAAAGTAACCACCTCTCATTTGAAATGAATGACAAAGTGCAAGTTTCAGAATAGGAAAATAGGTCATTGGAGGCGATTCAATGGCTTTTCCTATCACTCTTCTTAGTCTACTCAAACACATACAACACCAGACATTATCCCATTACTGTGATTGCCTTACATGGGAGAGATTTTATTAATGTCTGAGGAAAGAGACTTGAGAACAGAAAATTAAAAATACATGATAGAGGAGGAACACTGTTAATTCTACCACCAACTATATAATCTGAGAGCAATTACAAGTTATCTTTGTCACACAGCCTCTCCAGGCGCCCTTGTTTTACGATGTTTTCTCAAATCTGTATTACCAAGTGATCAAGCCATCACAGGCTGCACTTCCTCTCTTTTAGCCGTTGCTTCACCTTAGGTCAGTAGTTAACCGTACGTTTAATAATTTACCAGTGCAAACGTACTTGGGGACTGTGGATTCGTTTCCAGATCCCTGTGGTGGAGCAATATTGCAGTGGAGGGAGTTGGAGGAAGTGGTTTTCCCGAGCACATGAAAGGGTAATGTACTGAATGGGATAGCACTGTATTAAAACTGACATGTTTAATTGAAGTATTTACTGCTAAAAGCACAGCCATCCTCTAAGACTCCCGTGGCTCCTCATTTCTTTGCTTTGCTGGTGATGGTGCTGAAGGTTGGGAGGCCAAGGCAGTTTCCTAAAGATGCAATGAGGTATGGAGCATGTTGACTGACTTCCCTGGGAGACCTGCCGGGAGCAGGCCACACCGACAGCCCTGATCCACAGGAAAACTTCTGTCAAAGGTAACTTACTTTTGTAAGCAAAGAGGTGTTTTGTAAAGAAACTATACTTAGAATGTGTCCTTTTTTTTGTTTTTCATCTCTCCTTTTTTCTCTTGGTGGTATGGAGGTGAACTCAGGGACTTACACTTGCTGGGTGGGCACTGCCACACACTTTGAATCGAGTTTGGCTTTACCAGAGGGCCCTTGGACCACTATCCTCCTCTACATACTTCTTTGACACACTGGACTGCAAACTACACAAGAGGTACACTGTTAACACTTGCTCTTCTTATTTGCTCAGATGGGGTCTCACTTCTTCCCTGGGCTGGCCTCAAATTGTGACCCACTAGATCTCTGCATTACGGGATTTCTGGCTAGGAGGGCCACCAAGGGAAAATGAAGGAGCTGCAGATTTCCATCACGTACTTCCAGTTCTATGTTATTTTCTTGTTTAATATAAGAATTCTTTTCATATTTTGGATAATGGCCTTTAGTCAGACATGTGTTCTGCAAATATTTTCCCTCAGTTGTGGCTTGTGTTCTAATTCTTTTACATAGCAGAGGTTAATTTTAAAAACGAACATTTTTGGTACTGTGTTTAAAACGTTATCACCAAACTTTCCTAGATTTTTTAAAAATTTTCTTTTAGATGTTTTGAAAATCTTAATTATGTTTCATCTTGAGTTCATTTGTCAGAAACAGGTTTTGTTTAGGTTCGTAATATTGGTTATACATTTTGAGTCAGTCTGTCTAGTTATTCTGCTTTGTTTCATTCATAGACTTAAAAAAAAATACTAACTTTTTTCTTAAGGGATTAATTTTATGCTTTGATCAAGGAAATGCCACAAGAGTAGGGCCTGATCTGACCTGTAAATATTTGACAGTAAATATTGGATCAATAAGTGCCTGAGTAAATAACCTGTTTTACTACTTTTCAGTTTAATAAGGTAAAATGTAAGTAAACAGCACACTATATATTTAAACTAATGAATTATTCTCATAATTCATGAAACTTACTCGTAAATTTTGTTTCTACATTTATTTTTGGTTGATGTTAAATATGCTGTTCTTGCAACCTTACAAATAACTCTGCTGAAGACTTGGAAAACTGTGTTAGAAAGTTCCTTCTGTTATATTAAATAGAAATATAATTACAATTTAAACCATAGGCAGCTTAACATCAATTACTTTTATAGATCCAATTAATTTCCTAAAACCTATCCCTGAACTTTAAAAATCTTGCCAATAGGTGGAGCTCCTGATCCACAACCTTTTACTCCAGGTCAAAACATGGCATTTCGACTTCAGTACCTCTGAAAACAAAGACACAAGTTTACGATGACAGCTTTCTGGTTTTGTACTTTTTGTTTGTTCCCAATTCCAGCTCCTCAACTCTTGGATTTGGAGACTGACAACAGGCTCTGACGGAATCACATTTCTGATTTACTTTTGTTTACACTGAGCAATAGCAAGTGCTTATTCAGCAGTGGGACAATGCAAAAGGAAAACATTTTAATGGTGTTGAAATAAAGATTTAGTGAAAGACAACATTTTGTCAACTATTGTGAAATAGCTCAGGTTCCTGGCTCTCTTCTAACCCTAACTAAAGAGAGGATTTAGAGCTCCACTTCCAGCTGTTTGCTGGATAACTAGAGAGATATCCCGTAGACTTGAACCAGGATTCTCAGCCTTTTGAGGAGGAAGGATTATAGGTGTGACACACTGGCGTTCATGAGCACAAACACACTTTATCCTGACACAGGGAGTAAAATTTGGACAAACTAAATATTTTGGAGGTTCAGATTTTAGATTTACAGTTAAGATATTGTAGTTCTTTTATGTCTTGATGCCAGTGCCCGTACTGCCTGCCTGAGGTATGTTTTCCTGGTGCTTGCAGGGAGAGCCAGGAGTAATGCAGTTAGGCATATTTATACACAGCCTGCTCAGTGACAGGGTGCACAGCATTCCCCTTTGTGTGCTGGACGATGTTCATGCCAACATTTTATCACTTATTTGAAGAAACATGTGGGTTCACATTTAAAATTAACAATCTGTACATTTTTTTTTTTTTTCAGTCATGGGACTTGAACTCAGGATCTGGGTGCTGACCCTGAGTTTTTTTTTTTTTTTGTCGGTCGTGGGGCTTGAACTCTGGGCCTGGGCGCTGTCCCTCAGCTCTTCAGCTCAAGGCGAGCGCTCTACCACTTGAGCTACAGTGCCACTTCCGGTTTTCTGGTGGTTTTATTGGAGATAGGAGTCTCACGGTCTCTCCTGCCTGGGCTGGCTTTGAACTGCGATCCTCAGATCTCAGCCTCCTGAGTAGCTAGGATTACAGGCGTGAGCTACCAGCGCCCGGCTGTCCCTGAGTTTTTTTTTTTTGCTAGCACTCTTCCACTTAAACCACAACTTCCATTTCCACTTTTCTGGTGCTTTTTTGGAAAAAAGGATCTCACAACTTTACTGCCTGGGATGGCTTTGGATGTTGATCCTCAGATCTCAGCCTCTTGAGCAGCTAGGATTACAGGTGTGAGCCACCAGTGCCTGGCATATTTCTACTCTTATGTCTTTTATAGCTAAAGACAGAAATGAGCATTTGTAGACAAAGAAAATGCAAAGAGTGATCTGTATTTTAACAAATAAACAGTACCTCACATGGAAAACTGTGGCCTATAGCTATAGTAGAACAAAAAACCATCAGTTGACTGCTATGTACAAAACACCCCAAAAGCAGACACTCACTTCTGTATTCAACAGCACCCACTGTCTATTTGCCTCAGCCAATGCTCTTGGCTTTAGGTCAGGGCAGGGACAAGCAAATTCCTAGCCTCCAGATTACTTGGAATACAGTCCTTGTAAATTAGTGTAATAAGTGGTTTAGTTTGGGCACAATGCTTTTCTCCCTAGGAAACTTAAATTGCATTATGTGGAAAGAAAAATCTGTATCAAGCTTTGAGAGCAATTGTGAAGAATTGAGGGTAACTTGTCAAGCTTACAATCTTACTACCAACACTCCAGGTCTCTCTTGGCATTTTTACTGCGTCATTAACTATGTTCCTGATATTTTAGACTAAAATGTTTTGGCTCCTGAACTCTGAGTGACTAGGAAATCTTATGGTTTTTTTTTTTTTAAAAGCCAGTAATGCACAATAAAACCTGCTGTGAATTGTTAACACTGTTGACAGATTGATCTAAAGAAGTGAGTTCTAATCTGGTTAGATGAATCTGGGAAAAATAAATGGAAAAAAAAAGCCACTGTACTTAGCTTTATAGGTAAGAGTATCTATGAGAAGTAAAAAGGCAGAGAGCAGATGGGAGAGGAAGATTTGCACAAGTGTTTAGCTGGAGACAAGGCATGAAGAGGGCCACAAGTCCAGAGCTGGATTAGGTGCTGGAGGAGGACAGGACAAGTGACTTCCTGTTGTCTTGGAGTACTGGGGATTGAACTCAGGCCCTTGTGCTTATTAGGCATGAGTTCTGTTACTTGAGCCATGCCTCCATTCCACAGGACAATCATTTTAAATCATAGAGAATAGAGTCTAGAACATTATGCCAAGTTTAAAATTTTATCCTGGGCAACAGAAACTTGTTTAGGCCCCAGTGGCTCACCCCTCTGATCCTGGTTACTCAGGAGGCTGAAATATGGAGGATCTCAGGAAGAAAAGAGACTTCATGGGCTGAGAAGGTGGCTCAGTGGTAGAGTGCTTGCCTTGCAAGCCTGAGGCCCTGGGTTCGATTCCTCAGCACCACATAAGCAAAAAGAAAAAAGCCGGAAGTGGCGCTGTGGCTCAAGTGGTAGAGTGCTAGCCCTGAGCTGAAGAGCTGAGGGACAGCGCCCAGGCCCAGAGTTCAGGCCCCATGACCGGACCCCCCCCCTCCCAAAAAAAAAAAAAAGAAAGAAAGAAAAGAGACTTCATATCCCGTTAACAGGCAAAAAGCCAGACTGGAGGTATTGCTTGAGTGGTAAAGTACCAGCTGAGCAAGCAAGGCACGTGAGAGCCAGGCCCTGAGTTCATGCCCTGCCAAGTTAACACCTTCGCCATCCACTTCTTGTTAGAATGACGTGAGGTTCCTTTCCACACCCTTACGTCAGCACTTTCCTCTTTGAGACTAAAAATGGCTTCGCAGACATGCTTTCTATAACGTTGTATTTTATTCACATTGCAGTGTTCTACTTGCGGGAACAGCTCGTTCGCTGTGCACATGCCCAGAAGGGAAGGCAGTCTCATCTTGAGTCCTCGAGCCTTTCTGGGTGGACGCGTTTGGCCTTCACAGTTAAGGAAACCGAGGGCTTGCGAGTTCTGATGGGCACCCTCGGGGCCGGAGTGCGCGTTCTCACGGAGGCCTGCAGAACCCCGCGCGGGCCGCACCGACTCTGAACCAGCCGAGGACCCTTCCAAAGGGAGATCTGCATTCTGAATCGGAGCGGAGAGAGACCAAGGGAACGCTGCAGGGACGGAGGCCGTCCGGGGCAGGCGCCGTCCCCCCTGCGTCCCGCAGCGCTCCTCGGGATCCACGCACGGGCGTGCACGCTGGCTCACACGTTTCCGACCTTTCCAGGTGTGCAATGACCTCGGTGCGTACACGCATCCGCTGCGCGTGTGTATCACACGCGTCCCCCCCACACCGGGCACATACCCTGACAGCGGGCCTCTCCTGCCGACGCCACGCTGCCCTCGTCTGAGTGGGGTCGGTCCTGGTCGCGGCCACGCCTGGCACTGGCTTCCGGCCCCCCCCACACCCGCTCCGGCTTCCGAGGCGGAAGTCCCTGACCCCCTCCTCCCCCCCCCCCTTTCTACCCCGCCGCGGCTCCACTTCCGGCGCCGCGAGGTTTTGGCGGGAATTCCACGTGGCCCCCACCGGAGGTGTGACCCCGGCCCCGCCCCCTCCATCCGGGTCCCTCCCTCGAGCGCGAGGCCCGCAGGCGCCTTGAGTCAGTCAGCCCCGGGGTATGTGGTCCGTCCAACTTCCTCCGGGAATGCTGTCCCTGCTGTTCCCACGCGGGGGGGGGGGGGGGGTCCGGGCCTCACTCGGCGCGCCACGTCCGTCTGTGTGTGCATCCACCCGCGTGTGTGAAGGGCGCGGTATCGCGTCCTCCGTCTCCGCCGGCCATCAGGAGGAACCGCCAGGGGCCGAGTGCGCAGGCGCGGCCGGCCCCGCGGCCCCTCGCGAGGCTTCGGGGCGCCCGCCGCCCGCCGCCGCGGCGGCCATGACGCCGGCTCCGGCGGGGTCTAGATGTGTACCTGCAGGCGGACGTTGAGCACCACCGAGCCCGCCACGTAGACGTACGGGAAGCTGGCGCGCAGCTGCCAGGCCAGCTCGAAGAAGGCGAGCAGGGTGCGGGACAGACCCTTGCAGAAGACGCCGTACGACGTAGGGGCGGCCGGCGGGGGCGCGGGCCTGAGGGCCGCGGGGGCCGGCGGGGGCGCCATGGCCGGGGCCGGCGCGGGGCGGCGGCCGGGCTCGGGCCTCCGCGGAGTCGGGCCTGCGTTCGCACCCGACGCCTGCGCCTGCCGGCGCCGCAGCTTCCGCCGACCCGGGGCGAAACCTGGGCCGGGCGGAGCGGACGCCGGGCCTCTGCGTCCCTGGCGCTCCGCCCCGGCGCTCCGCCCCGCCCCGCCGCCCCGCCTCCCCGCCGCTCCCCGCGCCGCCTCCCCGCCGCTCCGCCCCGGAGCTCCGCCCCGCCCCGCCTCCCCGCCGCTCCCCGCCCCGCCTCCCCGGAGCTCCGCCCCGCCCCGCCGCCCCGCCGCTCCCCGCCCCGCCTCCCCGCCGCTCCCCGCCCCGCCTCCCCGCCCCGCCTCCCCGCCGCTCCCCGCCCCGCCTCCCCGCCGCTCCCCGCCCCGCCTCCCCGCCCCGCCTCCCCGCCGCTCCCCGCCCCGCCTCCCCGCCCCGCCTCCCCGCCGCTCCCCGCCCCGCCTCCCCGGAGCTCCGCCCCGCCCCGCCGCCCCGCCGCTCCCCGCCCCGCCTCCCCGCCGCTCCCCGCGCCGCCTCCCCGGAGCTCCGCCCCGCCCCGCCGCCCCGCCGCTCCCCGCCCCGCCTCCCCGGAGCTCCGCCCCGCCGCCCCGCCCCGCCGCCCCGCCCCGCCTCCCCGCCGCTCCCCGCCCCGCCTCCCCGCCGCTCCGCCCCGCCTCCCCGCCGCTCCGCCCCGGCTCCCCGGAGCTCCGCCCCGCCTCCCCGCCGCTCCGCCCCGGCTCCCCGGAGCTCCGCCCCGCCTCCCCGCCGCTCCGCCCCGCCCCGCCGCCGCTCCCCGCCTCCCCGCCGCTCCCCGCCTCCCCGCCGCTCCCCGCCCCGCCTCCCCGGAGCTCCGCCCCGCCTCCCCGCCGCTCCGCCCCGGCTCCCCGGAGCTCCGCCCCGCCTCCCCGCCGCTCCGCCCCGCCCCGCCGCCGCTCCCCGCCTCCCCGCCGCTCCCCGCCTCCCCGCCCCGGCTCCCCGGAGCTCCGCGCCGCCTCCCCGCGCCGCCTCCCCGCGCCGCCTCCCCGCCGCTCCCCGCGCCGCCTCCCCGCCGCTCCCCGCGCCGCCTCCCCGCCGCTCCCCGCGCCGCCTCCCCGCGCCGCCTCCCCGCGCCGCCTCCCCGCGCCGCCTCCCCGCGCCGCCTCCCCGCGCCGCCTCCCCGCGCCGCCTCCCCGCCGCTCCCCGCGCCGCCTCCCCGGAGCTCCGCCCCGCCCTGCCTCCCCGCCGCTCCCCGCCCCGCCTCCCCGGAGCTCCGCCCCGCCGCTCCCCGCCCCGCCTCCCCGGAGCTCCGCCCCGCCTCCCCGCCCCGCCGCTCTCCGCCCCGCCTCCCCGGAGCTCCGCCCCGCCGCCCCGCCCCGCCCCACCGCCCCGCCCCGCCTCCCCGGAGCTCCGCCCCGCCGCCCCGCCCCGCCGCCCCGCCTCCCCGCCCCGCCCCGCCTCCCCGCCCCGCCCCGCCTCCCCGCCGCTCCGCCCCGCCTCCCCGCCCCGCCGCTCCGCCCCCTGTCCCTTCCCCTCCTTATCCCCCCCCACCCGGGGCGGGGCTGATGCCCGGCCTGCGAGGCCCGCCACCGCGGAGCGCACCGGGTCTCCAGCCCCACGGCCGGTGCTCGGTGATCCGAACCTCCAAACCCCCCCTCCCCCCCCCCCACCCCGGGACTTTACACGGTCAGCCAGAATGATGTAAGAAAATCAACACCGCACACACGCGCTTTCCCAACACTGCTGTAAACTTAAAGGTGAACGGTGCAGACCCCCCCCCCCCCCCGCTCTCGGAGGACACACACTAAGGGAGCCCGAGGCTGCTGTGCACGCCTCCCCTCAGTGACCTGTCACCTCGTCACCCAGCACCCCCCCCCCCCCCGCCCCCTGACCCCCAGCCCCCAGCCCCCTGCTCCCCGGTACCTTCGCTAACATTTATTCCATCACGTATTACGTCCAACCTTCTCGGGTTCTGCAAATGTATTATTTTTCTGACCATAAACTTCAGATGACACTGTAATCTGAATATCACACATCTGTCTCATCCTGCACAGCGCATCTGCAGTGCAAAGCATTGTCACCATAGCGGGTTTTTTTTAAAGGTGTGTTGCTTAAGCAAAAGGTTCGTAAGACAGTATAAATGCAACTCCTTTAAAAAAGAAAGGCATTGTGCAAGTACGCTCGTGTTTCTAAAGTGCAGGCTTTAGAATCAATGGGCCAAACAGAAGGAGGTCTGTACATTGGCATCACTCAAAAGGATTATTTTCCAGAAGGAAAAAGATTGAAAACAAAACGAGAAACCCAAGAAGTGTAAGTTAATGGAAAAGGAACATATGTAAAATTGAAACGAATGCTCACAGTGTAAAACAATTTGTGGGGCTAAAAAACGCAATGAATAAAACAAATGAAAATAAAAGGCCTGGGGTGAAGTATTTTTTACTTTTTCATCACTGAAAAAGTGGTTCAGAATACCTGAGTCGGCCTAGAAGAGGTATTCTGGAGGTATTCTGGCTTGTGGTTTTAGAGGGTTCAGATCGGGGTCAGCTGGATCCATTGGCTGGCCGATGAGCATCTTGGTGAGAGTGTACCGGAAGCTGCAAGCAAAGAGTGAGAATGACCAAGCCAGTCTCCTCTAAAAAGTCCCTCCTCAACACCATTGAGAGCCAAGCTTCTAGCAAGAATCAGCCAGGGATATTTTCATCTAAATCCCAAGGTGAAGGGGTAAGTTGGGTTGAATTTTATTTTGAACTTTTCATTGTGAGGAGAGCCTTGTTCAGTGGTCTGGAAATTCTACTCAAGTGTATACCAAGGAAATGCATCAAGTGATGTGAAAATGAATGGCTTCATAGCTAGACAGAACTAGTCTTTACTGTAAATAGTAATGCTTTGTTTTTCACCTTCAATAACTTCTGTATAATAGATTATCCACTCACATTATCTATACAGTTAAATTCACAAATAGCACCCATACCTTCACCGCAGTAAATTTAACATACATTTTACTTGCTAAATAATTTATATATGTATTTTACATGTCCAAGAATATTATTTCTATAAATTGGCAGTATGACTGATACACTGACGTCTTACTGTGTGAAAGTTAATCTGAAAACATTTCACAGCAATTCTTGGTCTATGATCAAACTACTGTGCACTGTTAATACAGCAACTGTTAATTCAGGATGATATGGTTAGGGCTGAGTAATCAGCTATGAGGATTCTGAGAGCATGAATGGGAGAAGTGTGATTCAATTCCAAACACATGAACAGTGACTTTTCTGAAAACAAAAAGAATAATGACTGTTGTCTTTTAGGGTTGCTGAAATAATACACCTAGGCATTTACAACTTCAAATAATCTAAAACTTGGAGATCCATTTTCCAGGGTGTTTCACTTTTGCCAACCCACAAAAATCTCTTTCCTTAAAGTGCTTTAGTCCAAATTGTGTGAATTACTTGAAACTTGCAGATCATGTTGAAAGCTATTGGACTTTGCCGGAAAACCATGCAGACATCCAGGTAACCAAGAAAGGTTTAATACCAGGGAAAGGGGGCCAGCAAGACTCCTCACAAGGGAGAAGTGAGAAGAAGCATTATCTATTGTCTGAGGTGACCTATATAACCTAGAGGGTTTAGGAGGGGCTAGAAGGGGCTAAGAGGCAGAGACCCGGTGTGGACCTGTGGGCCAGGGGCTTCATCATGGTGGACTGATTTATGGCTGCTGTCTAAACAGTAGATAAGGTCTTGCAGCTGCCCAGACCTAAGGTCACTCTAAGGGGCTCTGTTTGCCTTCTATAGTGGTAGCTGCCCCATAGAAGTGCCATCCCAAGCTAGAAGGGGTTGGAAGTTGATTATTTACTGCATAACAGAAGTCATCAGTAATATTAACTGTGAACCAGAGGACAGGAATATAGACTGGGAGAAGAAAAAGGAATTTTAGATGGCCATGGTTTATGTTTTCTGCATGAATCTACATTTAAACTGGTCATAGCTTTTCTTTAGCAAGCATTCAGAACAAGAAATCAGCAACAGCAAATACCAATTATGCTGCACTTCTCTGTTTCCTCTTAAACTGCTTCTTTCCACTCAGAATTTCCTTTGTTTCACGTAAAACCTCAGCTTAGATAATTTTTTTAAGGATTCAACTGAGTTATGACTATAAAGAAGACACAATCAATTTCTCTAAATTTCTTCTCTTTTTCTGTTTTGTTTTTTTTTCTCCCTCAAATGAGAAAATCTGCAGACAAGTCCCTTATATCACATACTGGCAAGTTTTCAACTCTGTTTTTGAGAGTGGAGATTTAGGAAAGTGGGCTTAAAAACCCAAATGATCCAAGCCTTAGGAAAAAGGAAAATTGCAAATTCATGCAAATTGCTCTTTCTCATATTTGCATGCAAACAAAATGGGTTTTAATCTTTCAGAGGGCCTCATAGTCACAGAAAGTTGCTATGATTAGCAGAACTATCTGCGAGGAAGAATTCCTGGTCACAACATATCAGATACTTCTGAATTAAAACTCTACAATGAAATATCAGATATTTGCCACAATGCAAGCAACATGTGGCAATGAAACTAAAATTGAATACTAGAGAGGTTAGGAGTTTTGTCTTTTCAGGCATTTCAGTTGAAGGGAAATATATGCAGCTGTTGTTGATGTAGAAACCTTTTTGTGGGGGTGGGGTGGGAAAATTTGCTACCAGCCCAGGCTGACTTCAAATTTATGATTTTTTTTTTTTTTTTAGTTGTGGGGCTTGGGTGCTGGGCACTGTTCCTGAGCTCTTTAGCTCAAGGCTAGCGCTCTACCACCAAAGCCACAGCACTACTTCTGGGTTTCTGGTGGTTAATTGGAAATAAGAGTGTCATGGACTTTCCTGAGCAGGCTGGCTTTGAACCGGGATCCTCAGATCTCAGCCTCCTGAGTAGTTGGGATTACAGGGGTAAGTCACCAGCACCTGGCTATATAGTTCATTTTCAACATAGTATCTAGTGAGTATCACTTGCT